CCCGGAATGTTGCGAAATTCCGATTTCGCAACATTCCGGGAAATTCAAATTTCGCGGACCTTCGCGGAATTCCTGGCCTTCCGCGACATTCACGGAAATTTTGCACGTTCTGAGAGCGGTATTGTAGATCTGATAGATTTAGAGCTACTTGAATTTTGAAATTTGAATCTTTTCTCTGCTTTTGCAGAAGGGAGCCCTCGTAAGTTTTCGATATGTTTGCAGAGTTTATGAAGGTTACGGAGTATTTTGACTGGAGAGTTTAAACAGTTGAGAAAATGATGGTGAAGTCCTCAGCACTTTTCTTAAACGATCACTTTAAGAAATTTTCACACGTTTGAATTCTCTAATGAAAACCTTTTTCCAAGGCATGCAGAAACCACTCTAATAAACTTTTCGGAGATCCTGGCTGAGAAATGATTTCTAGGACCGCTACTGTCGCCGAATTACCGCCGATTTACTTGCCGGATTTTTAAGTTGTGCATAATAATGGTTTGGTACAAATCTGCAACTTCAATCAATCTATCTGCAGTCTTGTGGACTGCAACGGTGAAATTGAAGAAGTAATTTATTGACAAAATTTATTAGCAAAGTGAGGTGATAAAAAAAGGGGGTCATCATGAGTTTGAAGGATGCAAGAAGTCTTCAGATTTTTTGTGCAAAGTGCTTTTTACTTCGCTAGATGGGTCTAAAGCTTCGTGTTTTGTTATCCATCCTTTATTTTCTGCTTGCCCTGTTACTGGGAGGCTAGTTTTACGTGTTATGCTTTGTTTGAGCTTTCTGTTTGATCTTTTTCCTTTTGATGCACCTTGAAAGTAGTTATAAAATAAAATAAAAAAAAAATAAACCCATTAACATCATCAGGCACTTGGGTGGCTAACGTCTTCGCTCTCCATTCGAACAAGGACCTTAATATTTATTTCCTGCTATACGCGTAGAAGAACAACACATACGTTCTAGACCTTTAGTTGAGTTTCGGCCAACTTCCATTGATTAGGTTGGAGTGCTCGGAATTCTTTTTGCTTTTGTAACCAACAAAAACAAAGAATTCGTCCGAGTTATGGCTGTAGGCAGCTGCACCCGGCATCCCTCCATGCGCATTTCTTCGCTTGCCAATTTTTGAAGAAAAGACTCAGAGAGTCGAAAACTGATGCTTTTTTAAAATTTCTTTTTGAAATCTCCGATTCAGCTGCCCAATATGTCAAAGATAGCAAGTGAAACGATCGTAATTTACAATTAAGATCAGCTGTAGGTAAAAGGATACGCTGCGATGTATAGATTTCATGTTCCGAATATTACCTAATTTTCGTAATTCATAAATTTTTTTTCTCAGGCACCAATCAGTATGGAAGTTCTGTTCTAGATTTTCACCGTGGTAAAGCGAATCCCTACTCCTTCTGTTAGATGTATCGCAGTTTTGTAGTGTTTGAAGCGTTACCAAACTAAGCAATCACCTTGTTTTACTTAACAGCTGAGACGAATTTCACCAGAAACTGAGGTATAGTAGACGTCATCCGTCTAGTCATCTCGGTGCGATGTGTGTTAGCGCACAAAAATTTAGAATCCCGGTTGGGGCGCTGGGATCCCGCCGTGCCGTATTTACACTATATGCGCAGTACGGCTTTGACGCCAAAATGTTTGATTTCTACATTTATTGTTTTTTTTCAGTTTAGCTTCATCTCACGGTCTCGTTTTCTATAATTTGTCGTTTTTCATAAGCCTTGCATGCCGTTTTAGAACGAAAAAATTGTGCCGATTTTACTGAGCAATCTGGAGAATTTTGCAGTAAGCATGATATCTTCAGTGCTGTCGTATACTCTACTCTTTCTCAATACGACAGGACTGAAGATAGCAGACTTACATCAAAATCCTGCAATATTGCTCATCTGCCTCCTTAACTGAAAGTGTAAAAGCGATAAATTTGGAGAACACGATGTATAAAGGTGGCAAGTCATCAAAACTTAGATTGCGTGAAAACAAGAAGAAAAATTGAAAAACAAGCACTTTGGCGTCAATTTCTAGGCGTGCTGCACACTTGTTGTAAGCGCCTCATCCAGGATTTCAAATTTGTGTGTACTAACATACATCGCACCGCGGTGACTAGACGGATGACGTCTACTATAGCTTTCCTATCTCCCGAAATTTTCGGAACTATGAGTCCCGAGCGCGAAATTTATCGACATTTTTCTGAACGTATAACAGAACAGAATGGTCTAGCCTGTCAATCGTCACCTAAAATACCACCAAATCTTTGGTAATTACCTAGTATACGTAAGCTAAATTTTTTACCAATGGTCCTGTAACTGAAGAAGGATATGGCATTGACGTAGCAGAATAATTAGCGTTATCTTGTATCTTGTAATGTAAGTGAATTTCCAGTTTTGCAATATTAGTGAAAATTCTGGCCTCAGTATCTTGCACCTAACACAGAGCGGTTTCAAGCAATAGAAGTACGACGGAGCAAGGTACATTTCGCAGAACATATTCGCACCTCATTCAAACCTCAAATTATCATCCTCAAAAGTCTCAACAATTCACCCAAGTTGCATTAGGCAAAAATTTATACTTTTTGCGTATAATTATCATGAGCATAAATAACCATTGCCGAGCTCATAGATCAGCCACTCAAGCGAATAATTTTTTTCTGGTTGATCTTTTGCTGGATCCTTTTCTTCACCGACTTTTTAGTCATGAATTTTTTGTATGCCTCGCTATGCTGAATTTTGGCTTTGTAAAATGCCTGGTAGTTGAAACTGAACGACAATAACTTCGTTTACTCTGTATTGAGAGTATGAGTATTGATGCGCTATGCACGGAGTCCCAAAAAATGTGAACACTGTTTAATCGTTAAGAACTCTCCTGCTTTCAAGTCTTTCGCCGAATTTAGGGCGCTTGAGATATTAAATCTGTAGAGCGAGGTTCAACTCAGATATACAGTGTGGACCAAACCATCAATCACTCTTTATTACTGTAGGATAACGGTATGAATTTTGAGAAGGGTTTTGGGAAAGTGAAAGCGATTTTTGCCTAAGAAAGAAAACCGAAAAGTCAGAAATCTTGTATTGGACGACACGAAGCCGCTAAACTTAAATATGAGCTTTCATGAATTATTTCAGACTTAGGGAAACATCTGTTTTTCCAGTGTTAGTCAGAAATGTGATTATACCACTAAAATAGCTCAGGAAAGTGGTGGAAAGTAGTGAAATCCGCACGCTGAAAACTTTACTACACAAGCTAGATTTTTTTTTCGAATTTTTTAACCATCAAATGCCTATTTCATAGGCCATTTGATGGAAAAATGCGCTTGTGCTGATTTCATACCGTAATCCTACATTAGTAGAGAGTGACTGATAATCCGGCACATACTGCGCATCTATGCAAGTTAAACCTCGTGCTACAGAGTGATATTTGAAGTTTGCCGAAAGACATGAAAGCAAGAGGGTTATTAACGATCAAACAGCCGTTCATATTTTTCTTTTGGGACACCCTGTATAATTACGTGATTCTCAAAAGAGACGAGATTAGTTCAAAGGCGACAATTTGTTTCGGGAATAACATCAAAAATGAAATTTAGCAAAACCTCTCATCAACTCAGCTTCGAATTTTTAATGCCATCTCAATTTTTCTACATGTGACATTGCAGAATCGACATGTCACAAGATTAGAAGTCCTACAGCGCCAAACATGTGACATCGCCTGATATCTTAGTAAGCACAAAGCATCTAAAATCAGCGATTTCAAGCGCTTAACATCATTATATTGATGAAAAGGTGGTACGTTAGCACTGACAGTTTCTATTCGCTCATGTATTGGCGAAGATAATGGTTTTAGCAGAGGGCGTACCAATTTGATAACGAAAACACCCGTACAATAAATGATGCGAATTGCTATTGGCGGAGTCATTTTGAATCTTTGTGCACTTTTTCACCCTCTCGAGGTATTCCTCTTACCATGCATTCCTCAGCTGCATTTCTCAAACCACCCAAAATGCAATAACGGTGCATTGGTATGGATTTTCTGGCAACAGAAACGCAAAGTTGAATAACGAATCAAAAAAGCAACATCTTTTATGGAAGAAATAATAATACGTTAACTAGACAATCGCAGTAGATCTCTCTATGCCACCCGATCTCCAAACTCTGACTCGTGCCTGTATTTAGCCTTAAAAGGTAAAAGTAAAATTTTACAAACTTCGTGAAAGTATCCCAGAAGAGTTGAAGCTGTGCAATTACTTTATTTCTTAAGTATTGAAGTGATACTTGAACTCTTTGCAAATTTAAATTAGTCTTGTAAATGAAGTTTCTTGGGCTTTAATGAAGCTGCGCCAAACAGCCTTTCTGGTAGTGAGTCTCTCAGGAAAAGTCAGGTCAGGTCGGCTGTTGCAGAACCACGAATTCTGAACATTCTTAGTGCCTAAAAACTGGTGTTTGGGAAGCTGGCTTAACACAAGCATCATACAATACCGTATTTTTTGAAAAAATGACACAGAGTCGCCCGATTCATGTGACATCACCGTCGCATGTCTATATCTCGCTTCAGTTTGGACGAATTCTTGATCCAACGACACCATTCGACTCAGCTCGGCGCGGCGCATCTTCTAATTTATAGGAGTGTCCGCTTGGACCATAGAAAGCCAGATTCCACGAATCATTACAGATTTTTGCTTGCGGTAGGTCACTCGGCAGAACAAACGAATTGTAAAATCTGGCCTCCTACTATGTTCAAGCTGTTACTTCTATATCTTAGAGGAAGCGCCGCGCTGAGCTGAGTCGAATGGTGCCTTTGGATTAAGAATTTGTCCTTTTGAAGCGATGGCCACGTTGCGGCGATGTCACATGAATCGGGCAATTGTGCGTCGTTCTCTCCAAGACATACGAGCGGTACTGTTAAAATGAGCTATCATGATACCAAGCCAAACAAAACAAAAGTGCTAAATCTTTTTTATTATATTGCATTATATCAATATCGAATGAAATTTGTAACTAATAATTCTTCTTTATTTTTAGAAAATGATGCGTCATTTTGTTGCGTTTTCATTACTGTTATTCGTTTTGGAAATCTCAGTCGAGGCGAGCTGGAGGGAAAAACTCAAAAAACTTGAACTTTGCTCCGTCCATACTCCTCGTGCATGCAAAGCACACTGCTTGGAAAGTGTATGCTGCTTATTTACTGCCTTTTACTCATCTATTCGAATCATCAATTTGAGTTCAGAATTGCCGAAACGGACAGTGCAGAGTTGTAGAACTAAGAAGAGAAGTTGCCGGATATATATGTGTCTGTGAGGATTGTCCCGGTGGTCAGAAACAGATGCGCGTCATTTGAGCTTTTTGTGCAAACCACCACTATGAAGTTATTATGATGCGATTTAGTCAATGTTTACACCACACAACGATATTATTCAAGTTATCAGCAATATTCACAATTTAACAATTTACGAGAAAAAGCTGGTATACTTATTTTACCATGTTAACACAATTCTGTTCTTTGTCCCACTGTCAAATGTTCAAAATTAGTAAATTCATGGAAATGCACGATGAAATACCAATTGAAAAACACACATTTGCGATTTCCTCGCCAGCCTGTCCACTGTCAGCATTATACCTCACGTCGATGACCGCGTGCATACGCGCGTACGCAAGCCGGAGCTCCCATTGCGCTTTCGTGCATAAACGTATGCACACTAGTTTTCATGTGTAAAGAAAGTGCTAAGGTAACATATGCGTTAACAATACCGGTGGCCTGTGTTGTCATATAGAGTCATCGCGGTAGCTCTACAAAAGTTCAGAACGTAAGTAGCTAATAAAATATGTCAATTGTGTTTTACTGAGAAACTGCTAGAAGTTGTACAAGTGTTCTGAGAGGAATCGAAGATGAACCTTGGGCGTGCATGTAATTCCTGATAGGACTCTGCAATATACAAATAATTTAGAAATAATAGTTTGCATGTTTTATACAAGCGTCAAAAAGACTTCCACATAATGACTTTGTGCATACGCGCATATGCACGAAAACATTATATGGGAGTCTTTTTGACACTTATTCATAAAACACGCACAGTTTTTTTTTCAAAATTGCTTGGATCACAGAACAAAGGAAGGGGGTCATCAATCTATATTAAGTAGATTGGGCCGAATTGCAATCACGCACTTCGTAAAAAATCTGCTTCCAAGTAGAAAGAAACACTTGAGACGCAGATAACTAGCAATCAGATTATTTGGTGGAAAGTTTACAGTCAAACCCGCGATTGTCTTCGGAATTGTTTCATCTTCAATTATTCACAAAAATTGAATGTTTGCATAGACAGAACTTGTTATAGTAACGCACCACGAGTATATCAACGTTGTCTTTGTTCATATAACTGTTGGTCAAGCTTTTTTACCAAACGTCTATGAAAGCTTTCTACTACAACACTAAGGCAAGTATCATCGCCATAGCCTCTATTTTGGATCATGACCAAGAAACGCTAGCAAATTCTTGCGTTAACCTAGGTAATGAATATGGATTGCATGAAGGAGAGTCTTTTTAAGCTAGTGTGTCTGGTCTGCGAACTGTCATGGTTTGACTACGAAATGATTCATTCTCTAATGCCGTTCCGTTACGGAGATCAGAGGATTCTGTCCTCGCCCACTTCGAGAATCACATATTTCTGTGTATTATTTAGGAATACACATCGTGAAGAGCATACACACTATGTAAAAAAAATTCGAGGGGGTTGGCATTATATTAATTAAGGCAGACTTCAGCATTTTTGGTACATCAAAAAATTTACTTAGCTATATTCCTTCTCAGATACGCCAATATTACATTTTTATGACTTTTTTATGACTCTTTCTTCAATTGAGAAGATTGTGCTGAAAAAAACTTCGAGATTATCGCTTATAGCTAATTTCATGAATGAGATTGCCGCTACGGCAGGAGGCAGATTTAGTCCAGCGTAAAAGGTTCTTCTTTTCCTCAGCATATTGTCAGAAAAAATCTTCAATGTCTCTTTCTTCGAAAAAATTCTCGCCAATGTTGTCAGAAGATAATGATGCTTAGAATGCCATGTACCTAAAAGCAGCCGCGTACAGCCTTACAGGGCGGTAAATACCTAACCAAACCAGAACGCAAACTTTTCGCGTCTACCGCTCTCCATTCGACATAGGAACGCCAACGTCCGTGTCCACTGGTATACGGGCTTGTTAAGAGGTGGACGCTCGATCTACATTCTAAATAGTGGGCTTCTGTTTAAACGCGTGCATAATTATGAATTGATACTAAAACCGTCGGCTCTTAACGCGCAGCATAGGCTGCTATCTTTTTTTTGCGAGCAAAGCAGTCTTGTCTTGGAATGAAAGAGAGGTGTCTAAAACTCCGTTCATTTGGTTGAAAATTGAAATTTCAAATGTAGATCTTTTTCTCTTGCAACATGAGTTTTTTTCTATGATAAAGCAGACAATGATTCATAATCCTTACTTTTCTTGCACAGGTAGTGTTACGTTTGTTGCTGTGAAAGAACCGACAGCTGCGAATCAAGAAGGGCACAATTTTTGCTCTTGAGCGGTGTAATCAGCTTTGAATAAGAAATAGTCACTGATAATCGAGTTTTAAGACGCTTTCGAAATTTGCTGGTGTTCGGTGCATTTATTCGATAGCAATTTTTTTGAGGTTAAAGACTTTCAGAAAAATTACCGAAGCCACCAAAGCCGGTTGGGAAATGATAATTAATCATGGCACTGTTGAGCACGAGGCATGGTGCTGCTTTTCTGAGAACTTGTAACTCATAATCAGGAGTAATATGTAGCTCACACTTTGTTACGTATCTTTGTGCCGATATAGAAATTTTATGTTACGGGGAGGGGGAGGAGGGGCGCGGTGATTCGAGATGCATTCTGATCTTGCGAAACCCAGTCCGAGATCTCAGGAAAAAAAGCGTAACGGCAACAAAAAGACTTTAAAAAATTTTGCAAGGCTGTCTTGGTTTTTTAAGAATTTCTGGGGTTTACATAAAAACTCAAGCACTTAATTTTATGACTCACCTGAACTTTCCAAAATCTACGAATCTGGAAAAGGCTCCCCTCTCTGCCCGCTATGTTATCTTCTTCTTCAGTAAAACTCAAAGAGGCCTTATCTTATAGGCGAAGTCGTTTGATGACATGTGCGTATTCGAATATAACCCTAAAATATTTGCGCGAAGTTGCCCTTCAAATGGAGGGGGAGGGGGGCGGATGGGGGGACTAAATACTATGTCTCACTACGTATATGTCATGTTTCGCAATGCATCGCTGTGCATTCCAAGATTTGTAATTCGTCGTAAGAAAGAACACTTCTACGGGAAACCTTAAATGGGCGGTAAACTGAATATGACAGAGAGCAAAACTGAAAGCTACACATAATGGCTTAGAAACAAATGTTATGAAATGAAGATAGTTATAAACTTTGAAAAAGAGGTTTTCATGACTGTAAACGTAGGCAGATTTCTCTTCATCCTTAGCCAAGACAGATGACATTTTTCCTTGGTCTCCAACTATGGTAGATTACTGTGACTGTATTCTTCTGCTTATACACTATTGAAAAAGCAAGGCATAAATTGATACAGTACCATGCTTTTTCAGCAAAAAAGACCAAAAGTAAGAGATACCAAAGTGTTTGAATATTACTAGTCTTGTAATGCAGTACCGATCTTTTATCAAGGACATCCCAACTTAGATCTCTGGAGCATGCAGGAGCGACACTACAGGTGTTTTTTCGTAGAAATTCTTAAGGCTTTATTTTAGATGCAGAATAATGATCAAGCACATACGGAGACAATGACAAGATCCGATTCGGCGAAGAGTATAAAATGCCGGATTACAGCACAATCATCTTTATCCTTACGTATACTAGCTTCCGTTGCTCTGCAATGCTTGAACCTATGCTAAACCTCTTCTTCTCAGACAATTCACCGGAACTTCCGCAGGGCAAGCAACATTTGCAGCGGTTCCGCATTTTGTTTACTATTGCAAAAGTGGAAAGTTGAGATGGAAACTTCTGCAGAATTCTGACGTTAAACTGGAACTTCCGCAAGGTTTTACACAAAGCACTGAGGAACTTTCCAAATATGCCGGCGGTTCCGCAGCACTTTGACATGCTGTCTAATATGATGTTGCCTTGCCAACGAGTAGATTCCATTATCGAACATGTCAGTCGTAGTGCAGAGGATAGTTGGTGAGTCTCACAGACAATAGAGTAAGCTTCAAATCTTGCTTCGGTGTTCTCTTTTGCTGTTGTAGTTCTCATTCTTCGGAACTTCCGCAGCACGTTCACGGTTTCCAGGTGACCCGGCGAAACTTCTCCGATCGTCTGCGGAAGTTCGGTTGGTTGTCAGAGTTCTTCCATCCTGAGTTTGCACACCAAATTAAATCGCAAGATTTGCTCTGCGGCTAAACTTTTTCAAAGCAGCATAGCCCTTAAGCGAAGATTAGATTAGGTCTTAGCACAAAAGTTTTGACTTTTATGAAGCGAGCTAAGCAATGCGACCTCCCTCTTGTTTCCAAACAACGGCAGGAAATTTCAGTGCGTTAAAATGAGAATGCTATCAATTCAGAGTCCAAAGAGCCTGAAACCATGAATTTTCCCGCACACGCAATTTGCACCCCACGAAACGTTTCAGAGTTTTGCTTACTACTTACACAATAAGTTACTCATTGTGCTTATTCATTGCACTCTCCGGGCAACCTACCGTTAGCAGAAATCTGAAACGAAAATCTGAATCTGATTTCCTACTGTGTCCAAGCGGCCAGTTCTACATATCAGAAGATGCGCGGCGCCGAGATGAGTCGAATGATGCCCTTGGATTAAGAATTCATCCCTTTTAAAGCCAGATATGGCCACGCAACGGTGATGTCACATGAGTCGGGCGATTGTACGTCGTTTTTTTTCAAATACCAGCGGTGTTGTATGTTGATGATCTTTATTTAGCATCAATGCAGCCCGGGTATTCAAGCTAACTAATGAGCCATCTCACAATTAGTGTGTAAGTCCAACTAGGAAGCACTGGCTACCATATTCTAACACCAAAATGGCGCTACGAACTGCGCATTACGTATTAAGTAGCATAGAAAAAGAATCTACGAAGATTTAACTCTAAGCGAAAAGATGCTGACTTCAATCCAATCAAATAAGCATTTCTTCCAAAATTGTAAACGGCATCAGAAATCTGCAGCTGCGTGAGTGAGCGAGTTTTGATATAAGCATTCCGATAAGAGCCTCAAAGGCTTTGATTACTGACAATAGGCTGGTAATGCATAGCTGTATAGATCTGAGGCAATATTGAAGCTGGGTGAGTTATAACATTTACGGAATTATGGTTCTGGCCAAGACAATACTTAATCAGACCTGTTCTTAGTTCGTGGTATATGAGGCCCTAAGGCTTTTCCAGTTTTGGGGAAAAAAATGAAGATTTGTGGTTATGATAGGAAGATGATCAGAACTAAAATTGGTATCAGAATCTTGCAATATCATCACAACGG